ATTTTGGTTATTTTGCAAAAAACGATAATCAACGTAGAAACAAGTAAACGTTAAAAATCCACGGTACTTACTAATCAAAAATCTTTCGTCTTATTATTATCATTTGAATGGCATATCAGAATTAGAGGATCTGCATAAAAAATTTGGGCAATCTCAAAAAATTTTTTTTGGATAATTTATGATTCCTACATTTATTTAGCATTATCATCAATAAGAATCTTATACATAATTATATTTCAAATTTTATTTATGCGCATGTATGAGAGAGGAAATAGAATCAAGGTTCAGGATGACAAAAACAAGAATTAAATTGTGAATGAATAATAATACAGTAATAGTCAAATCAATTCTGTTTTGTTGTGAAGATCTTTAACTTGTTGTAAAATCAACAATAAGCCATCTTTTTTCTTTGTTGCTAGTCTCTTGAGCTATGGATGGTTAGCTTCATTCAATGATCCAATTAATGATTGGATTATTGATACCAATTCCTTATTGAACTTTCTGTTGGTCGCCTTTCATCTTCTTCAACAGTAATTGGAATGAGTGAGTAATCCTAGATGACTTTGTTGAACTCATCAACATGAAAACATTGTATTCTTTTTGAAAATTGGATGTGAACGAGGACAAATATAATTCATATGTCCGGTTATCGCTTTCATCAAATCATATTGGACGAACTGTGGCGATTAGTGGCACACAAAATCCAGAGTGGAATGAAAATTTTTATATTCCCGTACATTCCGAGAAAGAAATTATATCAATACAAATTTTACATGGTGAACCTAATGACTCTAAAGATAAAAAGATTGGATTTGTTGAATTTGATTTGAAAGATTTGATTAAAGTTAATGAAGACAAATATGAAGCTGAAGGTGTCTTTGATACGTAGGTGCAACTCTATTTTATTTTAATAACGTCAATAATAATAATATCAATAATAATATCATGATTTTTATTGATAGATCCAAAACTATTAATGATGAATTGGGAGGCACTATTTATTATTCAGCCAGTTTCCATCCAATCATTCCCCTTAATAATGTGACTATTACAGAAACGGAGAAAAAGGTCGATTTAGCAGAGCAAACAGAAAGGGTCGAAGTAGTTGAAAATACTAATGTTTTGAATTATAGTAAGTTGCTTTTTTCTTTTTATTTTAAGATAAAGTGAAGGATAAAATAAATTAATAAAAAATTTTTTTTTAAAAAAGCATCTGGAATTTTAACTATAAAATTTGTTCAAGCTAATATTGAAAAAAAAGATATATCATTGGAATTATATGTAGATAATGATGAATTCCCTGTTTACAATACAAGTCGTTCCAGATCTTCGAATCCTTGTTGGAATGAAGGTGGTTAACATTAAACACTTTTTATTATTTAATAATTGTAATTTATTATTATATCTTACGGGACTTTTGATTTTAGTTGCTAAAATTTTTGTGAAGGAACTTGGGTATTCCAGAATTAGATTATATGTCAAATCAGGAGAAGGGAAAAGACCAATTGGTACAATTGTACATGATATCAAAAAATTAATTGAAAATTCTCAATCGTCAACAGATGGCAGTTGGTTAAAAGCTCCTGAACTAGAAAATGCCCAATTTAATATTTCTGTGAATTATCTTCCCGTAAAATATGAATTGGATCCTTCTGAAAGTTTAAAAAGTAAGTATTTTATTTTTATTTTTTAATCGAAGATAGCTATAATTACAATAATTACGATATTTTTGTTTTTATTTATTATTAAGATATGGGTCGGTTATCAATAACCATCAATAGCGCTAAAATATTAGAAGAAGTTTGTAAATCAGGTAAACGTTATATATGTATAAAAAAGATTGGATATTTGGTTAAATATACACATCTATTTCTTTTTTACTAAATAAATATAATTGCAATTATAGGCAGTATTGACGCATATTTATTTTTTATACTTAACGGCGAAAAGATTTTTAAATCAAAAACAATTAAGCAATCATTAAATCCTGTTTTTGACGAGAAATTTGAAGCAAAAATTGTAAGTCAAGAGATTCAAAGGCTTTTTTATAATTATAACAACGATAATAATTTAATTCTTATTACTTATTACTATTTTATTTTTGATATAGTACTCGCTTAATAAAGCAAATTTTGAATTGGAGGTGATTGATTGGAATCAAATTGCAGCAGATGAGAAATTGGCTGTTGGAAAGATTCCAATTGATGATCTTGAACCAACCAAACTAACAGAGAAAGAGATCCCTATTACTAGTATCAAGGATCCAAAAATTTCATATGGAACTGTTTATTTGGAATTATTATTTACGCCTGATTTTTTGGACAAAGAAACACGACAAAGAGGACCTATTAATGGAGCAAAAAGAACTCTATCTGGAATTGGTAGCACGGCCATTTCAGGTGGAGATAAAATCCTTAACGCGGGTAGTAGCATAGTTGGTACAGTAGGTAGTGGAATAGGGTCAGTAGGTGGTTTTTTTAATAAAAGAAATAGTGGTGGTATTGATCCACATAAAAATGGAGAAGTTACTTCAGGATCTATAAATCCCGAGTTAAATGGTAAATCTTAAAAAAAAATATAATTATAATTTCTTATTTAAACAATGGACATTTATTTATTTGTTAAAAAGTCTAGGAAAAATTTGTGTGTAAATATATATATACTTATATTAATAAAAAATGATTATAGGATCTAGAAAAAATTCAACTAAAAGTGTTAATCAATCGGAAGGTAATTATTTACGATAAAAATATGTGTATACGAGTAGAGATTAATATTGATATTGATATTTATTCATTTGTGCAAAATTTTATTCGTTCATTTCAATTTCGTTTTATTTGTCTGTTATAAAATTAAAAATTTTTTTATTCACAAAGAAAATATTGGTATACCTGGTACCTTGACATTATCTATTCCTGAAGCGAAAGAATTACTTCCTACTAATAAAAGCGGTAATTAATATATGCAATTAGATGAGAAAGAATATATATCTGTATTATATTATGATTATGATTAAAAGATGGAATTTTGTTTATAATTTAGGCTTGAGTGATCCTTATTTCAAGGTTAAAATAGACAAAAAACAGATATTCAAATCTGATGTGATAAAGAAAAATCTATCTCCTCAATGGTAACCAATATATATATATTCTTTTTTTTTTGATCATATTTTTACCAATATTCTTAATAATATTACAGGAAATCTTCAAAAGTTCAAATTCCAAATATAACTGGTGGACCAATAACATTACATATCTTTGTTAAAAAACATCATCTAGTTGGTAAAGATGAAGATATTGGAGAGTATGATTTGAATTTGTGGGAACATATTAAACCAGGTGCCTTTACAGAAGATACGTGGGTAAATTTAACAAAAGTTAATCGCGGTAAATTACATATTAAATTGGATTATAAACCAAAAGATAATTGATTGATTGATTTATAACATTGTATATAAAAAGACTGAAATAATAAAATTTTAAATTGAACATAAAAACAATGCAAGTCACTTGTCGCTGAACCAAAATGGACTGATCTACATAATCAACAATTTTATTTGTTCTTTCTGTTCCCTCGAATAAGCCAATAAAAATTAGGTTTGATCGTGTAACAAGGATTAAATTTGGAATTTATCGCGTTTAAGGGTACACAGTACAGTCAGACTCCTATATAGTCACGCACCTTGGGACCATAGTGAAATTTCAAGAATTTTGGTGACTATAGTGTTTGTGACTATACAGGACATGTTTTTACTATGATTAATTAGTAGCAAGGAATTTTTCAAATTAACAAAAAAATGTGACTATACTATGTTGTGACTATATAGGATGTGACTATATAGGAGTCTGACTGTATATCATTTAGAAATGGATGCAAAATATGTCGATCATTTGAAACCACAACATGATTAACATTCAACGCCTTTAATCCATTTAATATAACAACAAATATAATTTATTCAGATATATGACCATTTGTTATTATAATTTGTCATTACAATTTGTCATTACAAAATAGATATATTACATTGACCTGTTGATAATTATTTATACCCTTTAGCAAAAACAGCCAAGCATTGTGGTTGTCCAAGTTTAATGATATTTTACTAATTTATTACTTTTTCCATGATCTAATTTTACTATTTCAGGAATAATTGATAATGCTTTTATATACAGTTGACAAATCAATAATAAAGTAATACTTATCTTATTTTTACATTTTACAAATCACATAAACCACATAAATATTTGATATGTCCAAGATCTTGAGCTTAGGCGAATGAATTAATGAATAAGAGCCACAAGTGAGTGGGTGAGATCCTTAATCTTCAACCATAAATCACCAATCTAACTTTATTGTTGGATAAATTGTAATTAAAAAATTAATAATACTTTGCAAATATATAATGGAAGCCTGCATGAATAATTACTTGAATATCTAAACATTCCAAAAAAAGTTTCTTACTAAATTGTTTGCTCATGTAAAGAGTTTGTAGTTGATGTTAAAAGCTAGTAATGATTCATACCAAGGTAGTCTCATTTCTATACATACATACATACATACATATATAAAAAACATATACATTAGTAAAAACTTGCATTCTTTAGTAAAAACTTGAAGTGTAATTTTATTAATCTGTAGTAACAAAAGTAAACTAAAAGACCATTCATTTAGTTTTTCTTAATTTAACAAAAACATATAGTGCATGTTAAGGATTGGTAGCTTTACTTATAGGATTGGCAACTCATCTCGAATCTCAAACTATTTATTTTACTTAACTTATTAATTAAACTGGGTCTAAAATTATATTGTTTTGATAGCTTGCGTCCTCAAAAATATGTTGGAAAATTTTTGTACGTGTTAAGTGAAGTCACATAGTAACAAAAGTAAACTAAAAGACCATTCATTTAGTTTTTCTTAATTTAACAAAAACATATAGTGCATGTTAAGGATTGGTAGCTTTACTTATAGGATTGGCAACTCATCTCGAATCTCAAACTATTTATTTTACTTAACTTATTAATTAAACTGGGTCTAAAATTATATTGTTTTGATAGCTTGCGTCCTCAAAAATATGTTGGAAAATTTTTGTACGTGTTAAGTGAAGTCACATGAACTTTTATATGTACAAACCATTTTTTTTACGCCAAATTTAAATTTTTGCCATATGTTATTATGTGTAACTGAACTCTACCCTTAAAACATGTACTTTACTATGCTCGCGAAGAATTTGCCCACTATGATCATTTCTAAATTTAGGAAAAATATTACTAAATTTAGACTAGCTCTAGACTATCTTATCTAAATTTGGCAGTAAGAAAACTAAAATCATGTGAAGTCCTATTTTTTTTGAAAAATTTATTACATTTTTGAACGAATTACAAAATTGCTATTTTGAAATTTGGCCACATGGCACAGCAATAGGAGGTCTTTAGACTGAGCCAACCATATGATCTTTTGGAATCTGTCATACAGGTTGCTCACCCTTGTACCATCTTTCAACAGTATTCCTAGCATGGTGGAAGTTTGATTTTATTGGATATAAAATGTGACAAAATAAAATTTAGGTTTTTACCAAAATTA